GTGCGAAAAATTCCTGTAGCGCAACTCACGAAAGTCAAATTCGTCGACCCTTGACACCTGGTGCGAGAAATTTTCGTAACGCAACTCGGGGAAATTGAATTCGACGACCCTTGGCACCAGGTGCGAAAAATTCTCGTAGCGCAACTCGCAAAAGTCGAATTCGTCGAACCTTGACACCTGGTGCAAGAAATTCCCGTAGCGCAACTCGGGGAAGTCGAATTCGTCGACCCTTTGCACCTAGTGCGAAAAATTCCTGTAGCGCAACTCGCGAAAGTCGAATTCGTCGACCCTTGACACCTGGTGCGAGGAATTCCCGTAGCGCAACTCGAGGAAGTCGAAATCGTCGACTCTTGGCACCTGGTGCGAGAAATTCCCGTAAATTTTAATGATAATGATAATACTCTGGGCCCCGTAAATTCTTCATCCGCCCCTGCGGACAGAGGAGAAGAATAAGGAGACGACGTTTCTTAATTTTTGCATTACCAACATCACTTTTTGACCGCTTGTATCTATGAAACGGCTGGACCAATTTAAATTTTTTTTGGCTCAAATTAGTCGTGGCGATGCCGCCTTTAAGGATATACTATGTGTTTTTATAAAATTTTTTATATTTTAGTTGCTACAAACCCCCGAAAAGTCGACTTTGTGCGCGCAGGATAAGAGACTTAGTAGTGTCATTTTCTGAACTTTGCCAGAGATTCTTTTCCTGACTTAGTAGTGTCGTTTTTTGAACTTGGCCGGAGACACTACCGCGTCTCCTGATCTAATTTCTGTGTTCATAATAGAAGATTATGTTATAAATAAATTAATATGCAATGCACATTTTGCGGCAGTTTTTTTCTTATTATTAAAACAGTAATAGTAAAAAAGTTCTTTAGATACGTGATTCTGTATACAAACATATGTAGTTGATGTAAGTGGCCTCTCAAAATTATATTGTACCAAATTGCAAACAGAACTATGAAAAGTCAGTAATAAAGCTGCACAATCTTACATTGGTAATTAGCATAGCTAACTAGAAGGAATGTACTTTTATCACTTTTGTCAGAGATATAAAAAATAATAGTCTAGTGCAATCGTTGCATATTTTTAGCCGAGCTCACGGACAATAGAGAATGACAGCGCTTTCAGAGAATTTAATGAATACACGTCGGCGAAATTTCCATCATAAATTAATGTCACAACAAAAGAAAAATAGAAGTGAGGGGACTGAAGGAAAGGAGAGAAAGAAAGAGAGAGAAAAAGTCGCCTTGATTCTCGCGGGACATTGGACAAAATAAGCCTCATACGCGTTGTTTCACAGCCATTTTCGCGCACGACGATGCTTAGAGAACGAAGAGAGATCCAACCGTCAGTAACTATGACTGACAATGAGTCATGTAAAGGCCGTGAGTTACGAATATATGATGTATCTATATATACTTCTCGAGAGAAGATTGAAGAAAAGACGTCGCTATGGGACATTTGAGCTTGGAAAAAGTTTGGTACTTACGGCCAAACTCCCAGTAAATATCCTGTAAGTCTCTTTCACAGAGTCATCCATCGGTTACTAATTGACAACGTAACACGTGAAAAATAGAGGGCTCGAAGGATGAGTTGTGAAAAAATCAAAATTGGAAAAAGAGATCTTGGCATGTTGGACCTTCTGTATAGTACATAACCCGAAGCTAAAGATACATAACGTGTATCTATATATTAGTCATCGTCATCAGAATGATTAAGATATTTTTTTGCCCTCCTCCTTCTATTTAATTTAACGAATAATTTCTATGTTAAATATACTTTATTCGTAAAAATTATATAAAGATGATTTGTATAACCACTGTACAAAAATATATGATAATACGTGGTAATCTGCCTGATACAAATGACGTATCTCAGTCTGTTGACGGCAAATCGCTCTACTTCTCTCTTTGCTTGTGCTGCACTTGGCCATGTCAAATTGTTTGATTTTATTTTGTTCCTTATCCGTTTGATGCGAACGCGGGAAAAATCGTAGAACGCGTTTTGAAGTACTGCAAGACCTCGCCAATTAAATGGAATCGACTTCGCCTTCACTTTCGTTGCGTTTTGTATCCCTGCCAGCTCAATGCCGCGCTCCTTACGACATATTTCGCAGACATAAGAATATTCTTTTGTATATGAAATTAGACGCTTCTCCTACTTAATCTTTTATAAACATGTGAAAACATAAAAAAAATCTGAAAAACTCTGAAAATCCTGAAATCTGAGAAACCCCCAAAAATCTGAGAAACAATTGCTACAACAAAGCTTACAAATGATCCACGTGCTAAAATCGAGATTCACGAATCTGTCTTTTTAACATTTTTAATTCGACAACGCTAATTAAGTGCTAAATCTTCAAATTTACTTTAAACTTTGTTTTATACGCAAGAAAAAAAATTTAAACCAATATAAATATCATTTATAATTCGTAAATTTAGTCTTTATATAAATTAAGTTTAAAACTAAAAAAAATCAAAATATACATTTCGAAAAACATATTCGAATATTTATCATGGTTAATACTTGATAAAAATACATGTGGTATATAAAAATACATCATGGTATATCATAACAGTTTTTAAAATTCCATTACCAAAGTGTTATGTATTTATTATTTGAATTAATTAAAATTATTGGAAATTGTACTTTTTGTACAATTTTTTTTCCATAATTTTGCGCAAGACCTATCTTTCTGATTTATCCTACACAAACTATTTAGATTGTGTAGGGTTGTGTACATTTTAAATAATGATACTTCTCGAAAAACTTAATAATATACAATTTTTATTATTCGACAAGTCTCGATAATCGACCGATTTCAGATATTCATACAAGTCAAGTGCGCACGAATCGGTTTAAATAATCGTTAATAATTTAAAGATCTCTATGATCGGTAAACCGTATTATGCCGTATTATTGTGAATGTTAAAGAATGGACTTTCACATACCAACGATATCAGGGGTCTCAGATCTAATCGCGGTGAATCTATGCGCAAGGATAAGCGAACGGGCGTGCAAAACGCGGCCAATGTCGAAAAGGCGTCGATACGATTGCTTTGCAATACGCAAGTGACGGTATACCATGCAGATGCGTTAATTGATCTCTTTACTTATATACTTGTGATTAATTTGACAACATCGATAAAATACGTGAAAAAAAGACCCATATAAGAAAAGAAAAACTTGAAGCGATATCTAATTGGCGCGTAACAAGAATAGATAGAGATTTGCAATTAGAAGACTTTTGAGACAATTATTTTCTTCCTTTAAAAAAAATTATTTTTGCCTCATGCGCCTTCGTCGAAAATTTTTGTTCTCTATTTATTTAGAAGTAATAAAAAACTTGAGATTTTTCAATGTTAATTTGATATAATTAATAAAATTGTATTGTATTAAATAATGTTACAAATTACAATACAGGGTGTCCGACAATTGTTGAATCACCTCTCGGGTGTAGGTAGAACGGGTTAAACCGAGTAGAAAAATCCTCCACCGTTTTGCGATTTTCGCAATAATTAATGAGAAATTAATTAAAGAAGATCGGCCTGTATATGTTAATAAAATTGTTGAAGGCGGTTGAAAAAATTCTGCGTATAACAATTTAAAAATTTTAGCTATATGTCTAGGGCAAAAAAAAACGCAAGCAATTTCAGTTATGGGGGGAGGGCGGGGGGTGACGTAAAAGCTATAGCATGAAGTAAACTCCCCCTTCTCTCTCACCCTCTCCCCTCCCTCTCCCTCCTTCTCACCCTCTCTCTCTCTCTCTCTCTCTCTCTCTCTCTCTCT